TCTATGACCGAGTCGGGGTTTTACGGCCGTTATTTTCTGGTTCCCAAGAAAGACGGCGGCCTCAGGCCGATCTTAGATCTCAGGGCTTTGAACAAAGCGCTCATGAAGAGACCGTTCAAAATGCTCACAGTCAGGAAACTCCTCGCGCACGTCCGCCAGGGGGACTGGTTCATCTCTCTAGACCTGAAAGACGCCTATTTTCAGATCCAGATAAACCCTCATCACAGGCCATTCCTACGTTTCGCCTTCGAGGGCCAAGTTTACCAGTATGCCGTTCTCCCGTTCGGCCTATCCTTAGCACCCCGTACGTTCACGAAGTGCATGGATACAGCGCTCGCCCCCCTGCGAAGTCAGGGGCTGCGCATACTGAATTATCTGGACGACTGGCTGATTCTAGCAGATTCCCAGACGGAGCTGCTGTCGCACCGCACAGTTCTCCTCAACCATCTGGAAGCGCTGGGACTCTCTGTCAACTGGACAAAGAGCTCTCTCCAGCCCAGTCAAACTATTTCGTTCCTTGGAATAGATTTGAACTCTATCACTATGACGGCTCGCTTATCCACACAGCGCGCGCGCCGTGTTCAGCGCCTAGCCGCCTCGTTTCAGATGGGTACCCATACATCCCTGAAATCGCTTCAGAGGATGCTGGGTCATATGGCTTCAGCCTCCGCTGTGCTACAGCTGGGTCTTCTGCACATGCGCCCCCTTCAACTCTGGTTAAAGAGCCGCGTATCCCACCACGAGTGGACGACGGGCCGCCAGATGATCAGGATTACTCAGACATGTATCACTGCACTGCAGCCATGGGCAGTAAGCGAGTGGTTTCAGAGGGGCGTTACCATGGGAACCTTTTCTCGCCGGAAAGTTATCTCGACAGACGCATCCAACTCGGGTTGGGGAGCGGTTTGCGAGGGCTCACCGGCCGCCGGCCAGTGGTCGAGCCACGAGAGTTCCCTACACATAAACTGTCTGGAAATGATCGCGGTCGAGAACGCGCTGCTGTGTTTCCTCCCGCGCATAAACGGTCACCACGTCCTGATTCGCTCCGACAATATGGCCGTGGTATCATACATCAACCGTCAGGGCGGCGTCAGATCCAAGAATCTCTTTCATCTGACACGCCGCATCCTATTGTGGTCCCAGAGTCACCTGCTCTCGCTCAGAGCGACGCACGTGCCGGGCCATCTGAACGACGGTCCAGACAGGCTGTCCAGGAACCTGGTCTCCCCCGGAGAATGGTCCCTGCACTCTCAAACAGTCCATACGCTGTGGCGCCTATTCGGCAGAGCGGAGATAGATCTTTTCGCGTCAGAAGAGAACGCTCACTGCCCAATATTCTTTTCAAAGAGCGAGGACGCGCTAGCCCAGGATTGGCCCCGCCGCCCGCTCTATGCTTTTCCCCCGATTTCTCTGCTACCGCAGGTCATTCAGAGAATCAGGGACTCACGCCACTCGGTGCTCCTCATAGCCCCGCGCTGGGAGAATCAGATTTGGTTCCCGGAGCTAACGCGGCTGTCACAGACAGCCCCGTGGCCCATTCCAATCAGAGCAGATCTCCTCACTCAAGCCCGCGGCTCGATCTGGCATCCCCATCCACAGCGCTGGGCGCTTCATGCATGGGTGACCAACGACTACGCGTCGAATTGCCAGAAGGGGTTTTGAACACGATCAAACACGCCAGAGCGGATTCTACCAGAAAGCTCTATGCTGCAAAATGGTCTGTGTTCTCCAAATGGTGCACCGACAAGAATTTGGACCCACGGACGTGCGAGGTTTCGTCTTTGCTAGTGTTCCTTCAGGAGATGCTGGATAAGGGCAGGTCCCCATCCACTCTTAAGGTTTACGTGGCAGCCGTCGCGGCGTTCGTTGAACCCCGGCGCGCCCAGTCTCTGGGCAAAGACGAGCTAATCATCCGCTTCCTCAGGGGAGCCAGAAGGATGAACCCCCCTCGCCCCCCTACGGTGCCGGTCTGGGATCTTTCTATAGTTCTAGAAGCTCTGAAAGCCCCACCGTTTGAACCACTTGAGTCCGTGGAGCTAAAATACCTCTCGTTAAAAACCGTTCTTCTGACGGCTCTCGCCTCAGTAAAACGTGTGGGGGACATTCACGCGCTGTCTTCGAGCGCCGCGTGCCTAGAGTTTGGACCGAGTGACTCCATAGTCATTCTAAAGCCTAGACACGGTTATGTTCCAAAAGCGATTGGTACCCCTTTCAGGGCGCAAGTGATCTCTCTATCGGCGCTGCCTGCATCCGATAGCGAACGTGACGCTGACCGCCTCTGCCCGGTTCGGGCTATCAGAGTGTACACTACACGCGTTGCCGCGTTCAGACGCTCGGAGCAGCTGTTTGTGTCGTTCGGTGGCCGCACCAAGGGACTAGCCGCCTCGAAACAGACCCTATCCAGGTGGATAGTAGACGCGATTGCCTCTGCTTATGCCGCTAAAGACCTGCCTTGCCCTCTGGGCATCAGGGCTCATTCCACCAGAGGCATGGCCTCATCGTGGGCATGGTCCTGCGGGATTTCCATCCACGACATTTGTGTGGCTGCGGGATGGGCCTCCCCCTCCACTTTTGTCAGATTTTATAACTTGGAAGTTCCAGCCTTACAGGCTAAAATTCTGGCGGTCTAGTACTCACAGCCCTCCTATAGAAGCCGCACTATCGGGAGTTCCATCACAACCGGTTCACCCCTTGTGTTCCCCTATGTGCTTATGCATTAGCCTACACATCACGGCCCGCCTTCGCCGGCCGCCTTTGGGCGTTTTTGCACTAGATGATAACGGCCGCTATGCCGGCCGCCGTATTATCTTCATCCACTTATAGATTCCCCCGGTGTTCCCCTGGGATGCTTAGTGGTTACTTAGCGCGCACGGCGTTGACCAGGTGTTCCCGTAGCGTAAGCTAGCTTACGCAATACGAGAGAACCTCTCGTAAGAGAACGAATCGGTTACCTAACGTAACCTCGGTTCTCTCTAGATGAGGGAACGAGTATTGCGTTCCCGGCCGTGCTTGCGCCACTAGCGTTTCGCTTCATGCTACAGAATCAACGAACGAGCTGGGAGAGCGACCTTTATACACTGTAGCCACGCCCCTTTTGGCGGGCTGTGACGCAGTGAGCGAGCGCCGTCCGCTCATTGGCCGCGGACTCAGCGCCGCTCTCCCATAGGTTCGTGCATTCTCTCTGAGCGAACCAATGAGCCGCTAGCTAGCCCGCTCATGGTCTGCCTCAGAAGAGACTGCGTTGACAATGATTACAAAATTATGGAATAATTTTTTGGCTTCAACTTCTCAGCAAAGATGAATCTTTCCCGTAGCGTAAGCTAGCTTACGCAATACTCGTTCCCTCATCTAGAGAGAACCGAGGTTACGTTAGGTAACCGATTCGTTACATATGATTATTTGAATCAAGGTGCTGAGCTATAGTTGTCAACCCTCCCGTTTTTTCCGGGTTTCTTACGTATTTTATCTCTGTTCCCGCTGTCTTCCTGTTTTAGTATTTTCCCGTAAAATATCCCGTATTTTTACGCTCTGATTGTGTGAGACGTAGGCTACAAGCTCGGACCGATTCGGCTTAAAGTCGTTCATACTCGGATGCAGCGCCGCGCGCGCTCGCCGGAGACACACTGCGTGCGTCTACTAGTTTGTCTTTTCGACAAAACTTGAAAAATCTGCGATTGCTGTCAATCAAAAGACCCTCCAATTATTATGGGGAAGACCGGAGTCCGGGCCAGCCCCCTCCTGAGACGCTGAGCATCACAGAAAAAATCACAAAATCACAGCATTTATCCAATGACCGTTTAGTTGGGATATTTTTACGTTCTATTATTATGTAACATATATTGTAGATTGCTTAGCATTGTATTTGATGAAAAGCCTTTATTAATTTTAGGAATGTAAACCATACAATTAATTCTCTTTTCCATTATTAACTGTCATCTGATTATTGTAAGTGAGCAAGCAGTAGGCTATCAAGCAGTCATCTCGTTTAAATAAATCATTGATAAAACAATGCATTTTAAAACATAGATATATCTCAATCATATTCATGGTTAAATTTTTTCTCCCCTTTTCCTTGTCAACAGCAGCTAACTACACCCCAAAGGCTCTTTTAAGGGCTCAAGCATTGTCTTTGGACTTGTAAGTATATGTTTGACTAACAATCAGACATATTTTTTAAATTCTTCTATTTAATGGCATTTAACAGTTTTCCAGCAAGTCTATCAATTCAAACTCATGTAATATCTGATACTGAAATATTCAGTCATTCACTCAATTAACAGTTAATTTCTCTTTTCCTTGTCTGCAAACAGATAATTGACATCCTTGATTTCTTTAATTTTAGATCATCCGCCCCTGCTGCTTGTTCGGAGTTTTTTTTTTTTTAAAGCAAGTAATTTCCTTAGTTTCCTTAGTGTTCTCCGTAACAATTTAAACAAAACTTCCAACTTGATAAATATCAAATTTCATGTTTAATTTCATGTCAATTGTTCAATGTATAGCAAAGTAACATTTTACCAATTAATTTCCATTGCACGTGCCTAAAAATAACAAACCATTCACATTGACGTGTTACAGTTATTGTTCACTAGTTCTATAATTTTGCCTTCAACACTACAATGAGTGTTAAGACATTTACAAATGAAATTAACATGTTCTTTCTAGTAGGATTTGTTTTTAGTGCTGAAAGATTACAAAAGGACCAAACATTTAAAAAATAAAAAAAATACAATACTTAAAATTAAAATCTGTTAATCAGTGGTCCCTAAATATTTTAGAAAAATAAGCTTGACATTAATTTCACTGACTTGAAAGCTCAGATTGGGTATATAAAAAAAGGGTGTACAAATTAAAAATAAATTAAATATATGTTACTCTCCTAGAATGAGCTCTGAAAAGAGAGAGATACACAGGAATGTGCATGCTTGGAGAACCACAAGGCAGGCATTGTCCAGATTGCCATCTCACCTGGAGACTAATCCATCAGAATATCTGAAAATGCAAGAGAACAGGCAATAGCAACAACATGGGAGGTAATTAACAGCTTGAATGAATCCTTGGCCTTTTACCTTGAAGACGACGACAGTGAGCACATGTCACTGGCAGAAGGGCTGTCCGCTTGGGCCATTGAATACCAGATAAAACACAATGCACTTGACAACCTTTTTAAATTGTTAAAAAGGCATGGACACAGTGAATTACCCTCAACTGCCCGGACCCTTTTGCACACTCCCCGGCAACTTGACACAGCAATCATCTGGAATGGAATACGTTTACTTTCCACTAAAGCAGAAATTACAAGAAACATTAGAAAGTTACCCACTTGATGAAGTAGTCAAACTCGACTGTGTTGATTTATACCTGAACGTTGATGGATTACCACTGTACAAAAGCTCCAAAACATGTATGTGGCCAGTCCTTTGCGCAGTCATGCTAGATCCTGTTACCATTTTCCCCACAGCTCTGACATGTGGTGCAAGTCGACCAACAGATCTTGGCTTTTTAGAAGACACAGTAAGGGACCTGGGTCATCTGATGAATGGCGGGATTAACTTCATGGGTAGAAAAATAAAAGTCAATCTGAGGTGCTTTGTGTGTGATGCTCCAGCTCGTGCATTAGTGAAAAATATCAAACTGTATTCCGGGTACTTTGGCTGTGACCGATGTGAGCAAAAAGGTGTGTGGTTAAACAGAGTCACATACCAAGAGACTGCTGACCTCATCCTACGGACAGATGAAGCATTTAGAAATCAAACCCAATTTCAGCATCACCATGGGAACACACCTGTGTCTCACCTCCCCATAGACATGGTGAGGTGCTTTCCCATTGATTACATGCACCAGGCTTGTCTCGGTGTAATGAAAAGGCTCCTGCTCATCTGGATAAGAGGAGACAGAGCTGTAAGGGTTTCGGCCAGCCAAAATAAAGAGATTAGTGCAAGACTGCTGTCTCTTCGAAACTGCATACCCTCTGCATTTGTGCGAAAGCCTAGCGGTCTTGAGGAGCTGGACAGATGGAAAGCAACCGAGTTTCGTCAGTTCCTTTTATACACAGGGAAGATTGTGTTAAAGGGAATACTGCCAGATGACGTGTACTTACACTTCCTTTCTTTCAATGTGGCCATGGCAATCCTAGTATGCCCAAGTCTTGTGCAGGAACATTCCAAATATGCCAATGACCTGCTGCAATACTTTGTGGAAAAAGGTAGGGCACTCTATGGACAGGAGTTCCTCGTGTACAACACCCATACCATGCTGCACATTGCAAGTGATGCAGAAAACTTTGGTTGTCTGGAAAATTGTAGTGGCTTCATGTTTGAAAACTACCTGCAGTCACTGAAGAAGATGGTGCGTTCTGGCAGACACCCACTGATTCAGGTTTCTAAGAGACTGGAAGAGATGAGCAAACAGAAACAAATTCCAAACAATACAAATGAACAGAAAATCTCTACAAAAGCCAGAGATTGTGCATACATCCTCAGTGGGGGCCAATGCTGTGAGATTCTTCAAGAGCCAGACAAGGAAGAAAGAGTGCTTTGCCGTGTGTACAGTAAACCGTGCCCTCTGTTCCATAGCCCATGCACGTCATTTTTGATTGGTGCCTACAAGTACAACCAAAAAAACAACACTATCAAATGGATTCCAACATCAGAACTCACAAAACATGCGATAAAGATTAATGCAGAAGACAGGAATGTGATTTTTCTGTCATTGCTCCACAAGTTATAATCAAAGGTACTAGGTTGTCATATGATGTGATATGAAGCGATTGGTAAATATAGTCAGCTTATTTTCCATTTATAATGATTTTTCTTGCTTCTTGCAGAATGTATGCAATAGTTGAATTTTTGGAGGAGGGGACTTGTGATTTGGTACTACAGACCTGGCTTTTTGAAGAAGATGAGGTATTAATTAATATATTCACAGTCACCATTAAAAAAACAAAATGGACAATTCTTTCTTTTTATGGAACATAACAGTAAACATAATCGTTAAAATTATCCATGCACTTTTTTTGTAAAGCCCTTTTAATCTTTTTATTACAAAATTATTTACATGCCCTCCTTGTAAAGACAACTCTTCTCTTTTTTTTTCAAAGTTTTCCTTTTCAAGTTTACCACATTGTTCTCTGAACGAATGTTGGTTCCATTTTGCATGTTTTGAGTACAATTCTCAATTATTAACATTCACATCTAACTTTTTACTTGAGTTAGATTTTCAGTTACTCGTGCTTTCATATTACAGTTTGAATTAATTTTCTAATTCTACAATATTTATCCAACAATGTAATTGTACTATTTTAATGCAGGTACAATACTGTTACTGGCCACCAAATAATGTGACCGAAAAAATTAAAAGGCTTGAACAACCTGATAAAAAAAAAATTGGACCAGGCACAGAGTGTTTGCAAAAACAGGTATTTCATTTTACTTTAAAGGATCATTCAAACAAAATGTTAGTGCAATTACTGTTAAGGAATGCTAAATTATACTCAGTGTATATTTTACTTCAGGTGACTATAAAAAAGGCTAAAAAGTGGTCCAAAAGAGCAGCTGTGCAGTCTTCTGTGGAGAGCTCTGATGACGGTCCCAAGAGAAAAAAACGACCAGTGTGTCTCAGCAGCTCTGATGAAGGTATGAACCTGAGTGTTACAACCCTGGCTCTAGGGATGCAACATAAAGGACACAAAGACAGAAATCTGCCAATCAAAAATAAAGTTTATTTTAATATTAAAAGAAAGAAAAAAGGACTGTAGGAACAAAACCCTGCAGCAGCAAGAGGATCTTCCAGCAAGAGCATGCGTCCTAGATTTAAGTAGCTCCCGTCAGGTGACACCAATTAGCCAGTTGATTGCAGGTGATCTACTAGGGAAGAATGCAGTGACATCCAGATTATAACACTCACACATAACACTGAGCATGTGAAATAAGTTTACAAATAAACAATTAAAGTAATTCTAAAAATAATTCTTATTCTTTTTCTTTTTAAAGATACTTCTTCAATACCTCACCCTAAAAAAGAAAAGCCGGGTGAACAGTACAACAGCTGGTACGCCTTTCTTAGTTTTAATTCTTTTACTTTACCACTTGTGCACATTTTTATATAAAAAAAAAGTGTTTGGGGGTTTCCAGAATACCAAAATATCATTAGTGGATTGATACCAATACCAGTACATTCCATTGTTTTTCTTTTGTTCCTATTTTTTACACTGTAAATATGTTCGCTTGCAACCCGCCATTAATTCACTTTCGCTCCGACATGCTTACATTAGTAAGATAACATTAGTTAGGCCTATGTATAACCAAAAAGTGTGTTTAAATATGATTCGGGTGTGTGAAGGAACGTATAACGTTCATTTAGACTGTTAGAGTTTCTGCTCATGGAGTGTGAAGAGAACTAGTTTTCTCACGTAAAATTATTTTTTAATCCACTAATCCTAATAAATCCACTAATCCTCAAAATCACTATTGCATTTATTTGTTTCCTGCATTTGAGTAAATACAATTACTAGATTTATAGTAGGCTATATTTAGTTAGAAACCATAATTTTAAAGAAAGAATATTGACCAACTGAATCTAACATTTGATTTCAACAAATTAAAAAAAAAATGGAAAAATTATGTGCAATTAATTGTATGACATAGAAATATACTTTTCATTTTGCAGCAGCAGGAACAGAGAAAAGGTGTGCAACGTGAAGACAATGATGAAACACTCCTCCTTTTTGAAGACGAATAAGACTTTTTTTTTTATTTATTATGATTGGTTTTCATTATTTTCCCCTTAAAGTAAAATCAGATTATTAAAATGAATGTATATGCCAAATTTTCATTTCTCAATAATTTTGTAAAATAACTTAAAATGTGTGTGTGTGTGTTTGTGTGTGTGTGTGTGTGTGTGTGTGTGTGTGTTAAAAAATATATGTTTATTTATTATCTTACTGTGGAAAATGTAATTAACTAACTAACTAACTGCTGATTAATAAATTATATAAATGTTTTCTAGTTGATTGATTCTTGAGGCACGTGTGACACATTGATGCATGCGGTACACACAGGTAACAGACTGAATGTTATTATTTTAAATGCTGATTAAATGTAGCCGCAGAGTTTTTGTTTTTTATTTGGTAGCCTATTTCGGTCGTTGCTGCGACTAACACGGTCCTTTGATGTTCGGTCCTCACAACATACCAGTTTGGTTACTGAGACGTAATCATCACGTTCTTGCGACATACCTCTATAACGTCGCCACGACGATTATGGGAATCACAAAGTTACGTCGCTGGAACGTTATGTGGTACGTCGCTGCGACTAATACGGTCCCTTGATGTTACGTCCTCACAACATACCAGTTTGGTCATTGAGACGTAATCATCACGTTCCTGCGACGTATCAATATAACGTCGCCACGACGATTATGGGAATCACAAAGTTACGTCGCTGGAACGTTATGTGGTACGTCGCTGCGACGAATATGATCTGGTCCGGTTACGTCTTCACAACGTAACTGTGTTAGCTGGGAAGCTACTTGTCATAAAAAGAATTAGGGTCCTGGACTTATTAGAATGAAACGCATCCAAACTGGATAAAGAGGTCTCAATATTTTGCCCCTTACAAGACATAATATCATAAAAGGGAGAAAAATATAATCTACAGCAATTAATCCCACGCTTTAACTTTTTATCTTTCATTCTTCCTTTTGTGTGATTGACTGAAGTTTGGAAACTGCTGCTGTCACTTTGGAAAGCCCATCCCCCCATAGTAACAGCAGACATGGGGGTGGGGCAGTAGAGCTGTGGAAAGATTGCTCTCTCATCTCCTCCTTTTGACAGATTTAATCACTATCAAATTAAGGCCTACTGGACAGTATATGTTAGTGAAAGGGTTTTAGGTAGGATCTTATGAAAGAAAAAAAAACACTAAAAAAGACCAATAACCTTGATTTACTAACTTATTAACACAGTATACCCCATTTCCCCATGATATGTACTTACAAGGCATTTGCCCACCGGCAACTATAGTTGCCGCTTAGACTTTTGACTGAGTGTATAAAAAACTATAGATCTATTGTAAGATTTGTTTTGTTTGGAACACTCTAGAGACCTTCATGATTATATATATAAATGTCAACCAAAAATACTTGTTAGTAAAATAAAAATTACCTTTCTTTGGGAGGGTTTGCCTTCGCCATGTTTCTTGGAAGAAGAGGTAAGAAGTTGACAACCTCATGTGACTGGAAGTAAGTAAATACCTTTTTTCTTTTTTTTTAAATCCTTTATGTGGTTGTTAGCTTGCATGTCATTGAGAAATAAGGCATGGATAACATCTAAAAAAATTCTTAAAGGGGGGGGGGGGGGTTGACTGCGATTTCACTTTTTTCATTTTAAATAGTGTATGTTGCTGTTGGTGCATGAACAGTATCTGCAAAGTTGCAGCGCTGAAAGCTCAGTGTAAGCAGAGATATCGTCTTTTAAAAATCAGGAAGTATATTGCCTACAAAAACGACTGGATTGGGACTACAGCTGGGTTATGGTACGTCACTAACCCTCACATTTGCATCAACCACTCCCTCCGGAACAGAGCCGATCCGCCCTATACGCTCACTACGCAAGCTGCGTAGGGCCCCGCAAATTACTCAAGGCCCAGTAACAATGTTAGACTGGTATTAGACCTATTGGACTATGCAAACTCAGTACATTCTAAAGCTTTCATCCTTTTTTTAGACTTTTATAAGGCATTCGACACCGTTGAACATGGTTTTCTCATAAAATGCCTCAAGTTGTTTGGTTTTGGAATGGAATTTGTAGAGACGATTGAAATGTTTTATAAAGGAATTAATAGCTCTGTGATAATAAATTTCAACACATCTCCTAGATTTGAGATAAAGCGGGGTGTCAGACAAGGTTGCCCTATTTCGCCCTTTCTTTTTATTTTAGTTGTTGAGTTGTTGTCCAGGAACATTTTATGCAATCCTGATTTGAAAGGTATCTCCATTTTTGATAGGGAAATAAAAAGTTCGCTACTGGCGGATGACACAACACTTTTCCTTAAAGATAAAGATCAGATACCTAAAGCTATTGAGTTAGTTGAACAGTTTTCTGCGGCCTCAGGTTTAAAGCTGAATATATCTAAATGTGAGTTATTGCCTGTGCATGATTGTGAAGATACCTCGATAGGAAGTATCCCTGTAAAGAATGTAGTGAAATATTTAGGTATTTATATATCCAGGAATCTTTCTGCCAGACAACATCTGAACTTTAATGAGAGAATAAAAAAAACGAAGAATATATTTAACCTCTGGCTTCAAAGAGACTTAACGATATATGGCAGAGTGCTTTTATCAAAAGCTGAAGGTCTGTCTCGTTTTGTTTACCCATCACTTTCTCTTTTTGTTAATGAATCCATGGCCAATGACATTAATAAGTTATTCCTTGATTTTATTTGGAGAAATAAAACTCACAAACTTAAAAAAGCTGTGCTATCTAATAGCAGAGCGGAAGGAGGTCTTGAAGTTTTAAACTTCATTGATACCATTAATACTTTTAAAATTAACTGGCTTAAAAGATGCCTGGCAAACCCTAATTCTGTATGGTTTT